GCAGGCAAGCCTCGGATGTCGGCTGCCCAGCCACCCAGAGCTGCCTGAGGCTCAGGTAACCAGGGCCTGCCAAGGCTTGTGCTGCTGGCAGTGGCAGCAGCAGAGGTGTGATGGGGGCATCGCCTCCCACCCCTGAGGGCTCCCAGACTGTGAGAGGGGGCAGGCTGGGTTGAGGGAACCCCCCTCCAGTGCATGAATTTTCATGCACCGGGCCTCTAGTAATATAATATACATAAGAGGCTGGATATGGTAAAGAGGACATCACAGCAGATAGCGATATAGATTAGGTTAATCTGCAACCCTGAGATTCTGGGTCAAGGGCTGCAAATCCAAATACCTTCATAGAGTGCAAGGCAGCCAGGTGTAGGGGGCAGTGCTGAGCTGGAGAAGGCTTGCTCATTGATAAAGGCATTCAAAATTTAAAAACAATCACCTCAGACATAAAGGTAGGCAGTATTCACTCAGGGTAGTTCCCAACTCCTGTTTTATGAATTATTCCAAGTCAATAACCACCTACTCAACTCCTGAGTAAAGTGAGACCTATCAGTTGGGGGGAGTGCCTTTTCAGAAAATATGTTAAGTAGTTTAATTTTGAATTATTGAGGGAAATTCCCTGCCTGAGAAACCCTAGCTGGAGTGGACATGTATACATGGAAGTACTTACATTTCACTATTATAACCCTTCGAACCATTGTTGCTTTTTCCCGGGGTTTCCCTAGCAGTCAAGACAATGGTTAGCTTCCCTACTGGCACTTGGTTATCCAAAGGTGACTTATTACTTTCCCAGTGCACACTGCATGCACACTAGGAGATTGCTCTGTTCCCTAAAGGCATTCTGATGCCAGTCGCCCTGCCCCACTCTTGGAGAAACACTAATGTAGAGACTTTAAGTGGAAGGAGGTCTATCTCTTAGTCTCAGTCATCTCATGTCAGTTTCTGTATTAAGAAGAGTTGCTCATCTCTTCTAGCAGGTGGACTTGAATGAGTCTCTCCAACAAGCATGTTAGAAGCACATTGTCTTTCTCCTGAACTCATGAATCATTCACTATCCTGAATCCATTACAGTAGTTGCTAATTAACTTTAGAGAAAGTATTAACCCCTTGTTTAGCCCAAGAAGCTGGGCAATGTCTATGGGTTCCAGGTGGCAGAAAGGATGAATAAATTCTTCCTTCCAACATAGTTATTTCCCTCCATCCCCATTTCTCAACATCCCTAGTGAAGAGTCCCCTCCATGTGGCATCTCATGTGATTTCACAGTGCTCACCTATTGCTATTTGATAGGGTTCACAAAGGGTTCACAAGCAGGTCAATGCCCTGTTAGAGAGCCAAAGCCGTAATAACCATGGTGTTAAGTTGACAAAGGTATTTTTGCTCAGAATTCCTGCTTCTATTCACCAAGAAAGGAAAAACAACCACAGTTTAGGTTGAAAATATTTATACTATTTCTTGTCCAAGTATGATATAGATAGATCGGCAAAGAATATATAGAAATGGGCAAAAGGCATGAGAAATGATACTCAACTTCAACACCCATCAGGACAATACAAACTAAACCCATAACCACTTCACATCCAGCAATCAGAGTGGCTAAAAAGAAAAAGATAGACAATAGCAAGTGTCGGTGAGGATGTGGAGCAACTGGAACTCTGAAAATCACACACGGCTGATGGGAGTGTAAATTAGTGCAATCACTTTGAAAAGCTGTTTGGCAGAATCTACTAAAGCTAAATATTCACATAACCTGTGATCCAGAAACTTCATTATTAGGTAGGTTTCCAACAGAATGTGTCCATAAGGTCACCAAAAGGCATACAGAAGAAGGGTCAGCAGTAGTCTTCATAACAACCCAAAACTGAAAACAATTTGAATGTCGACCATTAAATAGAAACATTGTAAAGTATTCATACAGAGGAATATTGTATGTTCTACTTATGTAAAACATTAAAATAGGCAACATTGAGCAATAAGTTAGGAGAGTGGTCACCTATGGTGGGTAGTGACTGGGAAGGGGCCATAGGGGATCTTCTAAAGCAGCGGTCGCCGACCTTTCAGACCTCATGGACCACCAGTGGTCTGTAGACCACCGGTTGCCGACCACTGTTCTAAAGCACTGGCAATGTCTTGTTTGATCTGGTTGGTGGCCACATGCATGTGAACTTTTTGGAAATTCCTTAAGCTGTACTCAATGATTTTTGCATTTTTCTGTATATACAGTATATTTCAACACAAGGTTAAACAAATTAATACAGAGCAGTGTCTTGGCTTCTCAGTTGTGGCTCTGTCCTCCTTCTTGTTTTATTTTCTTATTGTTGAGTAGAGTCTGGGTGTATGTGCTTTGCAGGGTCACAGGGAGGTGGGTAATGCAATGAGATAAGCTTGATTCTCCCCCTACCCCATGCCAAATGGGTCCTGCCAGGACCAACAAATTGGATAATCAGAGGCAGATGCCTAGAGATGGCAGTGGTCTCAGGAATCACTGTACATGTTTCAGGAGAGGGAAATGAGGCCTACAGAAGTAAAGTTAATTAAGAGTATGTTGCACATTGGAACAGAATCCATTTTATATCAGCCTTATATACAGGCAGATGTGGCTGTCAATGACCTCTTTCACATCCAACACAAAGATGAAAATTAACTTGCCTCATTCTTATGTGTTAAGTGATCATTTGCTCTCTGTTCAAAAGAAAATCTCCTCCTTAGGAGAAATAACCCAACATCTAGTCATACGAGACAACTGATCAGATTTCCCATCACTCACAAGAGTGGAATCCCGAGAGAGCTAAACGAGAGGAGACTACGTTTTGTAGGAACCAGAACACATACAGAGCAATTATTCCCAGAACACATACAGAGCAATTATTCCCTTCTAGGAACAGCTGTAGCACTTCCCATGTAAGAAGTCACTTCCTCCCTATGACACTATTATCTAAATTCTCATTGTCCCCATTTTAGAGGTGAAAAAACTAAGACACAGAGATGAGTAACTTGCCCAAGGTCCTACTAGTGAGTGCTGGGGTGAGAATGATCCTGACCAGACTGCTCTTAACCACTGCTGTATGGACTGGGATAGTGTAAGCCTCGATGGTGGGTGCCTTCTGAAGACACCAGGACACTGGAATAGACAAGAGAGAGGGAAAGATGGAAGGAAGCCCCCCAAAGAGCAGGAGACTCATGACAACAAAACCAAAAAAACAAGAGATATACATGTTTGTGCAGGCACACATATGTGCATACAACCATGTTATAATATACAGGTTATTAGAGAGCCACATTGATCATTTAAATGGATCAACCTTAGTTGGGAATTGTTAAATCTTTGTTTCACTCTATGCTTTAAAGCAGTGGTTCTCAACCTTCTGGCCCTTTAAATACAGTTCCTCATGTTGTGACCCAACCATAAAATTATTTTCGTTGCTACTTCATAACTGTAATGTTGCTACTGTGATAAATCGTAATGTAAATATCTGATATGCAGGATGGTCTTAGGCGACTCCTGTGAAAGGGTTGTTCGACCGCCAAAGGGGTCGCAACCCACAGGTTGAGAACTGCTGCTTCAAAGACTGTACCAAAGGATATCATAACTCTGGTGGTAATAAAATATTTTAGCTAAATTTCAAGCCACAGTGTCAGGAAAAGAAACTTAAATAGTAAAGTTTCAACTAGCCAGGAACATGGAAGTCCTCATTCACCTGCACCCAAGCCACTCTTTATTTTTAAAATATTTTTTATTGATTTCAGAGAGGAAGGGAGAGGGAGAGAGAGATAGCAACATCAATGACCAAAGAGAATTATCGGCCTCCTGCACACCTCACACTGGGGATGTAGCCCGCAACCTGGGCATGTGCCCTGACCAAGAAGCGAACCATGACCTTCTGGTTTATAGGTCAACACTCCACCACTGAGCTATGCTGGCTGGGTGGAGCCACTCTTATTTTGTGTCATGATGTACCATGTACATTACTACATATGCAACTGGGCTTTCTCACATTCTCCTTCTTCTAGTTATCCCAGAGCATGCCTTTCATGTGTTTCAGTATCTCAACACACACACACACACACACACTTTTGTCAGTTCCAGACACTTCTCAATTGCAACACAGAATGAAATCAACCCCAAATGCCATTTACTGCCTCATGCATTTGATTGAATTCTGAGTCAAGCATCATTTACACGAATATTCTTGGCCCTGAGCTCAACAGATGAGGATCACACAAGAGGGGAAAGAACACTTGTCCCAAATGCTTCTAAGCGGTCTGCGTCCCTGGACAGCACACTTCACCCTGGCAGCCCAGAACACACCACACTCTACAAGGATGTATCACACGAGCAGAACAGGAACAGGTCAAAGAAAACAAAAGGTCTCCCTTCTCCATGAAGGTTGGACTTAGCAGGGCTGCCGAATGCAATTCTGCACCGAAATACAGTTTTCCCGTTTCAAAGCAACGCGGAGGCACGCAGCTTGTTCGATTTATATAATGCCTGGTCTCCCAAGACTTTACAATGCGAATGGCATCCATCAAATTAATTTCCTTGGGGATTGTCTCAAACACAGAGAATGAAGAGGCCCAGACCATTAAACATCAAAAGAAATGTTCTAAATGGTCATTAAAGTTCTATTCTATTTTCTCTTTCTGGGAGCAGATTAGATTAATTCAATTGAGAATATCATAAGTATCAAAGCTGACAGTGTGAATGGGTCGAACTGGCTGGAAGAGCGCTTAATATTGCAGACATCTGTTCATTCAAGTTGCACAGAACGCACGCAGAAGAGGGAGTCGACGCAGAGTGCGGGGTACTTACCAAGCCGGCACAAGTAGACACGGCCACGGAGGAGGAGTTGTCATTTCTGATAAATCCCTGATAGAAACATCGCTGCACCCTGGGTCCCCGAGGCTCTGACGCACCATCTTTTCCAAGTACCTGGACAATAAAGTGACTGCTCAAAATCGCCGAGGGCTTCAGCTCTAAGTGGAGCTCCTGTCCAAATGCTGAAAATTGGTAATGCAGGGAGCTGCTGGCACTCTGCGCTGACCGCTTTCTCCTGCCGCTGTGCACAATGTCGTGGGAAATATAGGACCCGCCCGCGTCCACTTCCACTGGTGTGACAAAGACGTAATCTGCAAGGGGAAAGGTTTAGCTGTCAGCACCCGGAGCCCGCAATGCCAACCCGTCACCTCCCACGAGGCTGGCCGAGAGCGATGCACGGCTCAAAGGCATCTTTGTTCCTGTGGCCATGCGTCTACATGAAATATAATTCAGAGGAGGACCCGTGGTCCTTCCCATTAACGCTGCCTCACTAATTCCTATGAACACTAACAGCCAAGCACAACCTTGATGAATGTGAAGAATATTTGTGGAAAAGGCCGCAAACCCTCCTGGTCTGGGGAGGAGAGAGATGGACTTTTCCTATATTAGTCACAGAGCCATTCGTTCATAAATATTGGTTTTTGGGAGACAACATACATATAAAACTACCAAAGTAAAGAATTGAATTTTTTTTAATGAGATTACCATCTTTGTGTTTAACCTGAATTGGGTGTGTGTTGGGGGGGCAGGGGGAAGGGGAGGCAGAATTTAAATGTCAAATAACTCACAGTGCTGAGTAACTTGAGAGGATCCCTCAGAAAATGCACAAGTAACCGCAGTTTCCTATTTCCAATATTAATTATACGTGACAATAAAACTCCAGAACTTGTAGCACTCTTAACCTTTTACTATGAGCTTTTGCAGGGACAATCCCATTTAATTGTAAGCACCCAATAGAGTGGATGCATAAAAATGCCTCAACACTGTCAGGGCTTTTCCTAAGCAGGATGATGTTTCAAATTGCTCAGACATGTTGTCAGAGCAGGGACACCTGGAAAGGCATGTTTAGAAATACCTTCACCATTGCTCCCTGGAGCTGCACTAATTGCTGCTTGTTCCTGAGAGGAGGAGCTAAAAAACAATTTGCTGCTTGAAAAAAAAAAAAAATGAGAAGCCAGCACACTGCTTTCTATCACAACACATTGAAACTGAAAAGTCTCATCCCACAAAATGATGTGGAATATGCCCTCTGCGCTTTAAAAAAAAGCTCTGCATTTCCACTTTCTAGGCACAGGATGGGAAACTAATTTGGAAAGTGTTTAGAAAGATGCCGAATAACTAAGAGGCATGTTTGAGTCACCGGGGTCTTCGGTTCTAGGAGGAGGAAAACAGGAATTTCCCTTTTCCCAAAATAGTAAAAAAAGATAAAGATAAAGAAGCCCTGTAGCTAACAGGAATCATATCAAAGTATTATTATGTTTGAAAAAAATACCAATATGACAACTTTAAAATGTTTTCTCCTGTTTGACCATCTGTGACTCTTAGTGCTTGAGCAACTCTCATTCTTACAATATTCTCTATGTCCTGCCTCTCTCCTTCTCTGACTCCTTTAACTAGAAATACTTGCAAATTGACATACGTATTAAAAAATAATTGGAAAAGAAGTTTTCCTCCTCTCTTAACCTTAAGAAACAAAGCAGGTGTACACGATTTCTCTTCTTTTTAAAAAAATCTCTATTATGATGCTTTACAGGTATGTGGTTTTCGATTCAATGCAGCTTTTTCTTAGTGAAAAATCCACTTCCTCCCTTACTAAAACCTAACTGTGTGAACCATCCCTGACACGTGCAACAGAGCCTCTCCAATAAGTTGTTTCTGACCTCCTTGTCCAGAACCATCTGAAACCCTGCCTGGGAGGCCCTGTGGGATCCTTAGCCAGCCTTTGCAGTGGTTCTCAACCTTCCTAATGCCGCAACCCTTTCATACAGTTCCTCATGTTGTGGTGACCCCCAACCATAAAATTATTTTCATTGCTACTTCATAACTGTCATTTTGCTACTGTTATGAATTGTAATGTAAATATCTGATATGCAGGATGTATTTTCATTGTTACAAATTGAACATAATTAAAGCATAGTGATTAATCACAAAAACAATATGTAATTATATAAGTGTTTTCCGATGGTCTTAGGCGACCCCTGTGAAAGGGTCGTTCGAGACCCACAGGTTGAGAACCACTGCTTTAAGGGAATCAGCCTGAAAAGCCCTCCCCCCCTCAGCCCCACCCACTCAGACACCAACACCTGCAACCAGTTTGCTTCCAAGGGGAGAAGGAGCAGGCTGATGCTATTCCATCCTTGATGGGAAGGGGCAATGAGAGTCCCCTGTGGAGAGTGATCTGATCAATCAGCTCAGGGGCTGACTAAAGACGAGGTCCTTACAGGTGGCAGCTGGAACAGAGGGGGCCTGCAGCCATCTGACCAGATGGGACAATGGGAGGTTGTTTTAGAAACTGCAGCCAGCCTTTCTAGTTGGACCAAAGCTCTTCTCAATAGCTAATTCCTGCTCTGTCCTACTGCCTCCCTCACTGACCCACCCCCTGCCCCAGTCCCTCTTCATGGCGCTGCCATTCCCCGCCCCAAGATGATCCCTTGTCCCCTGGTAGGAGGACATGATCCTGCAAGGCTCAAGATTAGAGAATCGGTTGAACCTCAGGTCTTGCTGGACACCTTGGATTAGGGATCGGCTGGTCTGTAGCTGGTGGGAACGTGGAGACAAGGATTTTCTTTCTGGGCGCCATGAGAAGTTAATAAATGATAGAAGCGAGGGGTGGTCTGGAGGTTTTCAGCTGGGGAACCTCGGAAGAGATAAAGACTCCAGATACCTCAAGTTATCTTCTTCCCTCTAACTGGCCTTTGGGAATCCAGGACACAAGGGCAAAGAAACGGAGAGCGGAGAGGAAAGGAAGACAGGGAACAGAAGTGGAGAGGAGAGGGAGGAGGAGAGGTGTGGGGAAGGAAGGGGGTCCATATTCTTTCATCCCCATGACAGTAGGTCCCGCAGGCTTGCCCAGGAGAGGAAGGGAAGGGAGCAAGGTGCCTTTTGATACCAACCGCCTAGTCCATATCCACTTCCTAATTTCTCACCACAGTACGATTTTATTTTTAAAACAAGCCATCTGTGAACAAGGGAAAGTATTGTTTTCTCATTTATGTGACTTGAAGCTTGAAGCATTGATTCTTTTGATAAGTTCTGAGTCCTTGCCACACTTCCCCCCTCTACAAACAGGAACCATTTCCAACACGCACACACACCTGCCACGTTGGGGGCGGAGGGGGTGGGGGGGAGGTGGTGAGCCTTTGTACCTTTTTCCCTCTTTGCGGGGAGGAAAAAAAGGGACAAAGTGCCTGGACAGACTCCTAGGGGTGGGGGTGGGGGGCAAGTACGAACCGTCATTCAATCCGCTGCCGCCGCAGTGGCTGTCACTGGCTAGGGCTGCGGTGACCCAGGCACAGCAGAGGCAGCACAGCTGGAGCGCCTGCAAGAGAAAAGGGGACATCGCGCGTGAGGGGCG